GCCTCTTTCAATAACATCAAGGAATCTCAATGCCATAAATTCATGTTTGTACCCGTCTTCACCCAAAAATTAATCTATAGTACCACTTAAAGAGATTTTAAGCAGGCAGGTGTGGTGGCACTTGCCTATAATCCCAGTACTCGGGAGGCTGAGGCAGGAGGACTGCTGAGTTCAAGGCTCACCTGGGCTACAAAGTATGTTCAAAGCCTGGCTGAACTACATAGGAAGATAGGAAGATTCTGACTCAAAAAAAAAAAAAAACTTAAGCGTACCAATCTTTTTTCTTTTTTGTCTTTTTGGGACAGGGTCTTTCTATGCAGTTCAGGCTGGCCTTGACAAGCTCACTTTGTAGCCCAGGCTGCTCTCGAACTCACAACGATCCTCCTGCCTCAGCCTCCCGAGTGCTGACAATACAGGCGTGTGCCACCATGCCTGGCATAAGCATACCAATCTTAATTCAGTGTGTTTATACTACTCTTGTTATTTTATTTGTATCAAATAAATAAAAAATTAGCTTTCTGTTACATGTATTTCTACTTCTAAATTTTAAGAATTTTATTAGGCTACAGGTGGAGCTCAGTGATAGAGCACTTGCTTAGCACTCATAAAACACTGGATGTAATTCCAACACCACACAAAACAATTTATTAGAGTATCACATCAAATTATATTTTTACTGGACAAAGAAAAATTAAGAGGAAAGTTGAGATGGATACAAAATAATGTCAATTCTCAAATAATTATATGATTAAAAAGAAAAAAGTAAGCACAACTTAATACTGTACATTTAATGTGATTAACAAATACTGATTCACTCCACAAAATCTATTTGTCCCAATCAAACAAGCAGACAATTCAGTGAACAAAATCAGCCAAAGGAGTCCGACAACAAAAGGTTAAGAACCAGTCCTTGAGTCGCTGAAATGTCTGGAGCTAACTGTAAAACAAACAACATAAAATTTTAAAGGTATGTTTTTAAACTATAAAACACAAAACTCTCACACACGTTCTTTTTTTAAAAAAGTATATGGTTCCCTCTAAAGTATGAAAGCAAGAGACAAGAAAGTGTGTGCATATATACTTAAAACAATCATGTGAAAAATTTTCAGAACCAATGAAATTAATCATATACATTAAAGTAACTTCAGAGAAGAAAACTGACAGTACTACCTTGCTACAAGATAAACAGTATTCATCTGTCAGCTAATAAATTGTATTTCTCCCACAAAGGACACACATGTTGTGCACTTTTTCCTGACCTCCCAAATATAGAGTAATCCTGTACATTTAGTCTAATACAACAGTGAAACTACCTATTTCAGAAAAACCTGAAAAGTAAACAGCACTGTCAAGTGAGCAGCTTTTAACTAGTTAACAACCTCTGCATTCATTATTCTTCCATTTTGAATAATTTAGAAGACATAAAATGATTTCTTTTTAACTGCCTAGGAATGTAATAGTACATTCCCTATATCCTTCAAAATCCCACAGGGAAAAAAATCATTAGCTACCAGCAGTTTCTAAATTACAGTCACGTCATCTATTCTGGGAAGAGGATTTTCATAAATGGCTTCGGTTTGAGTAAACTCATATTCTTCATTATAATCCCAAGCAGAGGACATAAAATGGCAATAAATATCTTTCGACTACTTTATTAAAAATTTTAGTTAATTTCTGATGTTCTTTCATCTAAGAAGCTAATTTTCATACCAGAGAGTACCTATATTCCATCATCTTCTATACCATTTTAAAAGTTCAAAAGTAATTAAAAGACAACAAAATTACCCCCAAAAATCAAACAACTGAAGCATTCAATTATGCAATTTTTCCATATGCTGGTAAACAAAATACAGACAAAAACATACTTTTCCATGTTCCCTTCATCCTTCCATCCATCTTTTCTACATTTGCTGGAAGACCTATTATGTTCAGGTGCTCTTCTGGACCTTGTTTAGCAATGACAGTTATCCCTGTTTTCTAGAAGTTTACAGTTCAGGAAATTAAGCAAACAAGTGAATATACGTGAATATACAATATTTAATTCAAAGAGGAAAACATTATGTTCTGTCAATATATAAAATAACTTTTAAAAATAGCTAGGTTTTGGGTGCAAAATAATAAACAGCCCTTTTAAATTAAAAGCAAAAAGAAATCAATAGGGGCTGGGGATTTAGCTCAGCGGCACAGCGCCTGCCTAGCAAGTGCAAGGTTGTGAGTTCGGTTCCCAGTACCGAGAAAAAAAAAAAAAAAAAATCAATAAAACAAATTTAATAAGCCAGGTGTGGTGATACATGCCTATAATCCCAGCACTCGGGAGGCTGAGGTGAGGGCTCTTGCAAGTTCTAGCCAGCCTGGGCTACAAAGTGAGCTCAAGGTCAGCCTGAACTGCATAGCAAGACCCTGTCTCACAAAGGAAAGAACATAAAAACAAACAAAAATTTTAACAATAAGAAAACCAGCAAGGTAATAAAACCAAAAAAGATTATGAACAAGCAACTCATAAAAGGGCTACTGACACATAAACTCTATCTCACTTGTAATCAAAGAAACAAATCTAAAAACACAAATATAATGAATAACTACATCTACACTTAATACAAGTGGAAGCATAAATACATTTTATCAGATACATTTTATAGAGTAAGTTAAAATTTTGCAACTGTGCATATACTTTTACCACCTAGCAGTGACACTGATGTAAATTATAAAAAGCAGCAATTATGCACATATTCACTATGACATTCAAAAAGAAGATATGTACAAGAATGTTCTCTGTAAGCAGTGCTGGTAATAGCCAACCAATAAAGACCCACTATCAATAAAAGCAGGCATATAAATTTTAACCTGTTTATACATAAGACAATGCAGGCATTATAAATATACAGATGATATACCTTTAAATTCACTGAATATAAAGATGTCAAGACTCTTCTAAAAGGAAAATACAGCTAGCATATAACATGACTCTACATTACTTTGCATGCTTCTGTAATATTTGAGAACATTTCTAAAGTATAAACACTTATCACTCATAATTTAAAAGCTAATCTATTTTAAATTGGAGAGATATACTAGGAAGGAAACCTTCAAACTGAGAAAGAACAAAATGCTTCTCAGTTTTTAAAAACTGATACATACTCAGAACGTAAAATTACAAAGACAGTGAACATATTTCGACATTAATATACATAAAAAACAATTATAAAATGAAAATTCTTAATGTATCACTGATTAAGACTTAAATTCTGCTTGATTAGGCTAAATGATTCATAAACTATTACTCTAAAAACTGAATTAAAAATATAATTTCAAAATACTTATGGATCAAACATGAAAAACATCTTAAATGTTTATGTATGCTTACGCATTTAGTAACTGTTCAAATCATTTTCTCAAGTAGCTGAATTATCTATTTTATGGATTAAGAAATTACAAATATTCACATTTATCCAATAACCTACATACCTGTACTTAGTCCAAAGTAATTTTTAAGTTTTTAAAAATTCATTATTAGTAACTCATAAACACAATTTGATATTCACAAAGGTACAGTATAATTTATTTCACCATTAACTGTTATTTTTGAATGGTAACTACAGTTCAATTTAAGAAAAGATGAGTCACTATAATGTCGAAATATTGCACGTACTTTTAATATCTACCAAGAGAACTAGTCTCATCTTGAACACATTCACAGTTCAGTTTTTCTTCTGAAACATACTTCTAAGCCGAGCATGGTGGCACACACCTGTAATCCCAGCACTCGGGAGGCTGAGGCAAGAGGACTGTTGCAAGTTCAAGGCCAGCCTGGGCTATAAGTGAGCTCAAAGTCAGCCTGAACTGCATAGCGAGACCCTGTCTCAAAAAGACCAAAAAAAAAAAAAAATTCTAATACATAACGTGGCTTCTTCTGTGTATGTTTTCTTAAAAATGTCTTAACCAAAACTGATAAGGAAATGTATGCATATAATTAAACAATTTGAACAGCAAAATTAAGTCTCCTTCATGTGTTAAAAGTCACAGAGAGAACTATAGTAGATAAACTTCAAAGACAAGGCTACCACCCCTACACACAAAAAACTATTTTTGAAAGGGACACAAAGTCAAAGTGCAAGCATCTGATATTTTTAAGCAAAATTGTTAAATATAAAAATAGAGGAACATTACATTTAACAAAGACTACACTACCGTGCTTCAAATCCAATGATTTAACACCTAAAAAAAAGAATCATTGCTAAAAATATGCACAACTGAAATCCATGCAAATAAAAATCTATCTCCCAATATGAATTTTTGGTTAATATAAATATATCATCATACTTAACACTATCATTCCACCTCCCCAAACTGCTAATGCCCAACAGAGTACTGAACAATTCAACTGCAAGTCTAAACATACGAATTTCTATAAAGAATTTAAAATGTCAAGCAAAGCACGTTCTTTGAACGAACACTTTTATTTTAGTGCAGAAAGTCTTTTTGCTTTTCATGTTTTATAAAGAACTTAATCACTTGTTAGGAAAGAAAAGACTCAACATTTCTAAGAATATTTTCAAAACTAAGAATATTTTTATAAACTATTTTTCATTTTAAAATCTGACTTAAAAGACTATAGCACATATAATGCCAATACCAAATATACAATGATAAAGAACACTGAAGTATTTCCCACAGCTGGGTGTGGTGGCGCATGCCTGTAATCCCAGCACTCGGGAGGCTGAGGCATGAGGACTGTTGCGAGTTCGACACCAGCCTGGGCTACAAAGTGAGCTCAAGGCCAGCCTGAACTGCACAGTGAGACTCTGTCTCAAAACAAAACAAAACAAAACAAAACAAAACAAAACAAAACAAAAACACCAAACAAAATAAAAAAAGGCTGTAAATATCTTGCAATGCTTGTAAATTAATGATCAGGAAATAGTGTTACTAAAGACATAGAACTTACTTTAATAATGAGCAAAAAACCAGGAAAAAAAACCTTTGAAAGTATAAATGCATACCCATTAAATCCAGTGACAATTTTCAGTATTCTTTCCTTCATTTCATCAAAGGGGATATATTCTACATTAGGATTTGGGGGACCTCTTGGTTCCGGAGCTGATGTTCTGAAATCATCCATTACTTTCTCCAGTTTGAATATAAAATAGCCTTTAAATTGGGACCACTGAATCCTGTAAGCAAATAAAAAAAAATACAGATATATTTATAATACCATGTGGCTTTACAATTCTTAAACATGAAGCAGAAATTCAGAACCCACAATGAAGTTATAACAAGGTATAAACAAAAGTGAGAGTGCTTTTCTTCAAAAGTGTGCATCATATATAATCAAAATGTTCACAAGTTCCAATTTAATTCCATATGACTCCAACTACTGTCAGCCACACAAAATGGAAATTTGATTAAAATTTTTAAAATGATGCGTTTCTGTCTGAAAGCCTACAGGGTGCTAGGTCCCTTTCTTAGCATTTTAAAAATATTAAACTTTGACTCTATCTTTTAAAATAAATCTAAATAGGGAGTCATGTGACTGCTCCTTCAACGAGGGTCAGAAAAGAATCCACACCTTGTCTCAATATCCAAGCTACTACAATGCTTACAGGGACTACTAAAACTTCTTGTCTTATAGCTAGCTGTTAAATAATAGCATAAACTTTAGTATCTCCCCTTCCTTTGCAGTAAACATTTTCAGGATCTTTTCTCATTGACAAGATATATACTTAGGTACCTAATTAGTCTGTCTAATGAAAATACCTGACTGCTTTATGTCCTTTTCACATTATCATTCACTGAATTAATATACTACCTTTCTGTACTTTACCCTCACATTTCACTACTAGTGTATGAGGAAATTTTGTGATGACACCTATATGAACAGTGTAAATTCCAGGAGATGGACACGTCAGGACTACGTCAAACATTGCCAAGCAGACAGTACTATCATTAGTGGATGTAGACTGATCTCTTCTACAGCCTGACAACTTAAATATAATTACACAAAATCACTCTTCTGTCCCCTATACCAACTCTATAAACACTAAGACAAGTTACAAATTGTGGTCAAATAAATCAAAGCCACTGTTATGAGAGTTCACATTTTTACTGTGTCATCATCTTCACTGCAATGGTGGATAAAACTGATCGCAATATACTGCAAACCAAAGCAGTAACGCCAAACTCTGCTAAAAGTACTCATTAACTTCTTTACCATCACAACTCTAGTGTTTTTTTAAAACGTCTATTTAACTCAAAGCGTACCAAATAACTACTAAGTTCACTGAATATACATTTTAGCACTCTACATAACAAAACAGAAATATACACAAAAGACTTCTGTTCAATGTTGCTCTCAAAGAACAACCCTTCACTATGTTGAAGAAAACTCAGAAAATCACAGAACACAAACAATTCCACTTCTGAGATCTGAGGAAATAAAGTAAGGACTCAGACTCACACCAGTATTACAGAAGCAATATCCACAATAGTCAAAAGGTAAAAACAACCCGAAGTCCAACAACAGATGAATAAATAAACTAAATATAATACGTAACAATAGAATACTATTCAACTTTCATGTATTCACTTATTGTTATTGTGGTGGTAGGAATCACTCTCAGGGCCTTGTGCATGCTAGGCAAGTACTCTACCAGAGTTACATCTCCACCCCTAATTAGCCTTTAAAGAAATGCTGACGGGGCTGGGGATTTAGCTCAGCGGCAAAAGCACCACCTGCCTGGAAAGCGCAAGGTCGTGAGTTCGGTTCCCAGTACCGGAGAAAAAAAAAAAACCAAAAATAATTAAATAAATAAATGCTGACATTCTGCAACGTGAATTAACTTTGAAGGTACTATGTGAAGGTGAAATTAGCCAAACGTACAAAAACAATTACTGTATGACTCCATTTATGTAAGATACAATTAGTCAGCTGGGCGTGGTGGTGCGTGCCTGTAATCCCAGCAATCGGGAGGCTGAGGCAGGAGGATCGTTGCGAGTTCCAGACCAGCCTGGGCTATAAAGTGAGCTCAAGGCCAGCCTGAACTGCAAAGCAAGACCCTGTCTTAAAAAGACCAAAAAAAAAAGATATAATTAGTCAAAGCCTGAGAGAAAACAACAGCAACTATCAGTCTAAGGGGAACAGTATGAGGAATTACTGTTTAATGTGAATAGTTTTACTTTGGGTAGATTAAAACATGGAAGTGATAGTGATAATGGTAGTACAACACTATGAACGTACTTAATGTCAATGACTTCTACACTTAAAATTACTTCCACACTTACAACACAATGAATGTTTTGAAAAATAGGTAAAAGATTTGAATAGGTATTTCTTCAAAGAAGATAGACAAATGACCAATAAACACATGAAAAAATGCTCTCTACAATTATCCATTGTGATAAAATGCAAATCAACACCACAATGGTATACCAATTTCAACTCCACTAGAATGGCTATAACAACGAACACTTGCCAGAAGTTGTGCCATGCCCCAGTAATCCCAGCACTGTGGGAGGCTAAGGCAGGAGGATCCCAAATTCAAACCCAACTTCTAAATCCTGGGTTCAATCCCTACTCTCCACCCCCAACCTCTGCAGCAAAAAAACATAAAACGCTAATCCTTAGAATATGAAGGAATTCCAGAATATGCGGTTACCGGAGGTTTTCCTCTTCTCTGAAACATAAAATGCAAGTAGTATAAAAAAAAAAAAAAAAAAAAGAATATGGACGAATTATAAAAATCTCATCTACTGCTAGTGGAAAACGGGCTGCTCTGGAAATAGTTGGACAGTTCTTCAAAAAGATAAAAACTGAGTCAACCTATGACTCAATAGTTTCATTCTATGGACAGTAATCACACTATCATGAAAAAAATTGCTAAAAATAATCAATAAAAGCCATCTGCAGGGCTGTGAATGTATCTCAATGGTAGAGCCTTGCCTTGTGTGAGCAAAGCCCTGGGTTTAATCCCCAGGACCACAAATAAAAAAATATCTCCGTGATTATAGTTTTTTTTTCTTTCCTTTCCCTAGTTTTTGGGGGAAAGAGAGTTTGAGGTTTAAGAAGCAAAATCAGTACATTATAATCTTAAAATACCTAGTATCAGTATTTAATTAACAGCAGTGTACGTGCACCCATGTTTATAGCAGTGCAATTTGTAATAGCTAAATTGTAGCAGCAACCCAAATGCCCATCAATTGAGGAATGTATAAAAAAGATGTGGTATTTTTATGTAAAGGAGTATTACTGAGCTATAAAGAAAGATAAACTTGAGGCTTTTATAGCTAAATGGATGCAACTAGAGCCCATACTCGTAAGTGAAATAAATCAGGCCCGTATATGTAAACACTGTATTGTCTCACTAGTGTAAGAACCTGAAAGAGTAAATAAAATCTAAAAGGTACAGTAGATATTGTGAAAGGGAAAGAAACTGGGATAAGGGAAAAGGGGAAAAAATATGTATATATGTATACACAAGACAGCTAAGATAATTGTACTACCAGCTTTACAGTTAATGTTTGTTTGACCAATCTTACATGCCTGTATTTGTTTACCTGAGTAACCAATCTGAAGATAATATGTAACACAACAACCATTGTTAATTTCCTATCACTTTGTCTGAAATTCTGTATTATTTTTATTGTTTTTGTGTTGTTTTATGTCTGTATGTACTTGAATGTATTCATTCTTTTATCTTTAAAATTAAAAAATGGTAAATGGTTCTTAAAATTCATCTTTAAGTTTCACAAGACTCCCCACATGCATGTAACTAATACTTAAACACAACAGAGAATGGTTAACTACAAAAGTCTTACATTTTTTCATTTCTTAAATTAAGAATTTTAGTAAAACTCCACTAATTCCTAATGTTTTATGAATCCAGATTTCCAAACAGAAAAAGAATTTTTTAAGCCCCATCTTTTTCCATTAATCATTTGGCATGACAACCCAAGAAAAAGCACAATAATTGGAACAGCCAGACAAGGAGGAAAATTATGAGAAGCTTAGAAGACACAACACTAATTCATGAGGCAGGAATTAAGTCTCAGGAAACTGACATTTTAACTTTTTTTGTGTGTGTATGTCTTTTTGAGACAGGGTCTCAATATGCAGTTCAGGCTGGACTTGAGCTAACTTTATAGCCCATGCTGCTCTCAAACTCCCAAGGATCCTCTTGCCTCAGCCTCCTGAGTGCTGGGATTACAGGGGTGGGCCACCATGCCCAGCTTAACTTTCAAACGTATCAGCAGTTTCACTAAATTAGATCCAACTGATAGAACTCATGTGATACTAAGCCCACATATATATTTAATAGGGCCTCTATGTGAAGAACACAGCTCTTTACTGGATACTGATGAAAGCAAACACTGAAGATACTTGCTTCCAAATTATGTAACAGGTCATGCCAAATCAACTAAAAATATGGCAACAAAAGTAATTTTTTAGGAATGTTGGAGGCAAAAGACAACAAAAACCTTAGTTTTCAAAATAATGACATTATTCTACACAGATGTTCATGAAACAAACTTTTCCAACTTCAGAATCAATTTCTCCACAAAAAATATTGTCCCCAAAATAGAACACATACTCAGAACTTAAACGTACTTTGCTAAAATTGCCTGAAGAATTTACTGAACTTCATTACACATTAATTTTTCAAGTCATCTCCCTTGGCTTCTTTTTCATCTCTTTTCTCTTCTCTTTTCATAGTTTCTCTTCTAGGGAAGTTAGACTCCTGTTAAGCTCCACCATGACTTCTTTTATTCTCCACTGGAACTTACAAGTTCATACTGAAACATGCTTCCCTCATCACTCTACAAGTTAAAGGTATTTTTCAGAAGCCCAAAGACAAAGAAGCCTCTTTTTCCAGTTAGTTCCAGAAGAATGTAGTGGCTAAGTGTTGGACACCTGAATTGCTGCCTTCTACAGTTCAAATTCTAAGATTCTTCTCAGGACTGGGTGTTCAGCTCAATTGTAGGAGAGCTTGCCCAGCATGCTTGAGGCTAAAAGTTAAATCTTCAAAACCACAAGCATAAAATAAAACAGAAAACCTTGTAGTCAGCCCAATTACATTCTACATGAACCTGTGGAGAGGCTAACAACACAAGACAGCAGCACAGCGAAGTCCTACTACCAGTAGCTACTCTAAGAGACAGTAAATACGCCACAATCTGT